TATTTGCTATGGTGGTGGATGAGGAAGGATGCTAACCGCCCTCGAGATAAAGTTGCTAGGGGGAGGCCTCGTGCGTGAGAAAAGGTAACTTTCCCGCGTCAACCCGCGGTGGGCGATAACCTTTAGAAAACAATTCGGTGAAAGCCACACACTTTTCAAAAAGACGGCAACACATTCAAATGGCTGCTGAAGCGAGCAAAACTCTCATAGAAAGAAGACTAAAAAGAAAACATCTCACTGATCTGAGTAATGAAATAAAATAGTCAAACTCGAAGATGGTATCCCATATCATTATCACCTAATGACAGAATTATTTAGCAATCATTTAGTTGTCAATCCAATAGTTGGCCAGGGAGTAGGTCAGCAGACAGAAAGCTAAATAAAGACCATTAGTATAGAATTCTATAGAATCGTAAAATACAAAATGTATAAAATTTGGTCTGTTGAGATTTTCTTCAATTCAATTCTCAATTTGAATCCCGGGTTTTAATCTCAAATTCTTGAAATTATATCGCATATCGTCATCGCTAACGAGAGCACGCGATCAAAACATCAGCTTCCTATGGCAACTACTTAGTTGCCAACCCAATAGTAGGCCAGAAGGTAGGTCAGCAGACGGCAAGCTAAATAAAAAACCATTAATATTGAAAATATAAACATAGAATTCTATAGAATCGTAAGATGCAGAATAAAATCTGGTCTGTTGACAGTGGAACGTGAAAGAATGGAAGACACGCGAAAGGTACGATACAAACACATGGCGATAGTAAAAGAGAATTGCTTTGAAGATATTGAAGAAAATTTGTCCCATTAAAGAAGAATAATACCATATGCTGGAAACCACTGGGGCAAAGTCAATTGCAAGTGGAGACGATTACAGCTGATGCGAGTGCTGCAACGGCTATTACAAACCGGAAACTGAAATTTGATTTTGTGGCCGCGTATCGTTTCTCGCCGCACGACTCTGGCCCGCGTCCTGAATTCGCAATAGTCTTGAAACACAGTTACACCGTCAGCTGATACAAGTGGCCCTACGTGATCCGCTAACAGAGTGCCCTGGCAAAAGTATAATTGAATTAATAAACTAGCACGAAATCTGGCGGCGAACTTATTTAGCCCGGAACAACCGCAACTACGACTGTTGCAACAGACCTCGAAAGAATAAAATATCCTATCTGTGCTTTGATACGGTTGCTCGTTGCTGGAAACTTACGATTTCCTCTGTTACGCGATAAAATTCAATTGTCTTATTTGTGGCCAAGTGTCGTCGTCTCTGTTGCTTTTTATAATATCGCGAAATATTTATGCTTCGTATCTCGTCGATTATTTTAGCGGTTTGCTTGGCTCGTGACGAGTCTCGTGACGCACGTGGAGCTTTCGCACAAAAGCACAGTCGGCAGAAGCTTCGTCGATATTAAATTTCTATCGTTCGAACAGAGGGAATCGTTAGTTTGTTTTAATATCTACAGGGTGGCAAGATACATCGCCATTTAATTTGCTCTGCCACCAGATACAATACGCGAATTTGCATTCTTACGAAGATAATTGAAGGAAGGGAATTTGAATAAAAATTTATTTCGTACAAATATCGTAGCGCTCCGCTTTAACCAGTTAGCTGTTCTTCACGAGTACACTCGTCGCGAAGAAATGGCAATTTTTCGCGTTACCACGAGCCTCTGAGTGACACAATGAAAAAATAAAATTCATTTCGTTACAATTTCATTCTATACTATAACACACGTACTCTGTGTCTGACGAGTATACTCGTCATCGCTTACTTTTTCACCCACGTCTCGGGTACACAGCTTTCACTTGGCAACAGCCGACTGGTCAAACGTTCATTACGTACATTTTTGCACATCCTATGCGCTCTGCAAATTTCCCAAAATTCATAAACGTTCGCGGTCTAATAGTAAATATAAAATATAACAATAAAACTAATAAAAATAAATAATCGTAATAGAAGAATTTCTCTGCTACTGACTGACATTTGGCTAACATTTCAGCTGTCAGAATATTCGAATAACAAACCGTACTATTGTAGGATTCTTACTACAATTAGTTTATTTACAATAAATGGATTAAACAGAAAACGATGGTTGTTTAACGTGAACTAATTACAGCAATTAATTATAATTAAGACAACTAGATAGTTCATTTGCAACTCTCGTCATCCAACGCTCTCTCGACAACGCAATTCCCACTTTCTCACTTCTCAACTCACAATTTTTCTTTTTTCATTTGGAAGAATTTTACAATCAATTCCCATTGAGAATTATAAGTAAATTACTCTACCATATCGTGAATAATAAATAATTATCGTATGTTTGATTCTAGCTGAATCTAATGTAATGTCATTTTAGCCGATCTGATCCAATCGTGTCAAGTAATTGAGTAATTGATGGGTTTTGGTGGTTGTTAACTCTCATGTTATATCTGTCACTAAATTTGCATATTTCTTCTTTAACTGTGGGTATCTCAAGGTCGCGATGATACGTTCCATTGGTAACATGCAACTCAACTGCAACAGACAGCACAGAGCTGACTGTTAATTCGTTTTCGTTCCTCAGCAACCCCACGTCTTTTGTCTTACCCCCCACCAAGCACATGTTCCGCTTGTTTATAGCTCGCCCGACACCCCCAGGTCCTTCGAAGAATTTCAAAGAAAAAAGGATAAAGGAAAAATCGAGCTGCAGACAGCCGCCAAGGGAAGATCGTACAACAGAAGCGTTGCCCAACAAACGCATCTCTCTGGCCGTTTTTCACGAGTGTCCTGAAGCGCGAACTGCTATGGCCAACGATTCCGGCGCGCGTGTTCAGCTCGTGAAACGCGTGGTTGCCGCGCTCCTACAATTTCCACGGTAAAACGCGGATCGTGGAAGCGGCGCGGAGACAGCCACCTTGCAGTATGCGTAAACCAGCTTTAATTAGTCGAAACGAGCTTTAATTAGTCCTGACGCAGACATAGCCAGCGTTACGCTGTTTACAGCTACCGACGCTTCTCTTCGTCTTCGTCTTCTTTTTCTCATTTTCGCTTGCGCCTTCCTCTGTTTCCTGTCTTTGTCTTCGCCAACGCTAGCACCAGGGGATCATCCTTTAGGCAAACTGGCTTCCCACGATGCAACACGGCCTACATATTCACGACTTGCTCCTGGAGAGCCTGCCAAAGCCCAGAAAGCGAGCTTTCGCGACCGCACGTATCAGGTTATCGGGTCAACCACGTTGGTCTGGTCCATCACGTTGCGTCGAAATCGTCCATTACGTGGATCGTCTGGTTGTTGGCCCATGGCCATTTCGACGATGACGAAGAATCGAGATGGAAGAGCCTTGGACAGAAAGCAAACGCTGCTCTCTCGGACGTGGCATCGCAACGATTCGAAACACGGCAGCTCGCAGCGTCCCAGGGCTGATGGATTTCGTGCTGAGACCAGATCATTCGCTGGATGAAGCTTTTTTTAATCCAACGAAGATTAAGTGTTGCTAGATTTTGTCGCCGAGATGAATTTCAATTTTTCAAGATCTTCTGATCGTCGTAGCGAACGTGTACGTCCACGTTCGAGAGTTTCAGGATGGTTGGCGTGTCAATTTTTAAATTGAAAAGAACCCACTGGATGATAAAGATGTCACAGAGTGCTCGACAGAAAAGGCGTAAGAGAAAGCTAGAAAAACGTAGCGATTTTATTAAAGCCAATTGTTTAATATATTGTGCAATTTTAAGTACAACGAAATATAATCTACGACGAATAACAGAGTTTTGTTAAAAATGGGAAATGTTATGAGACTTGTGAGCGGAAGCGAAAGTAGGGCAAGTCCGTGCACCAAATCCAACTAATTTATTTTGTAATTGTTCCTGGAAATAAAAATGTGACAACCGTTCGATATTTATAGCGTTTCCTGGCACAGGAAATGTATTTTTAAATTCTGCCTTAATAAAAAACAAAAGTGGAATTAAAAATTTTCATGGTACAATTAATTACATTCATTATACGTATGTTATATGCGAGTAACTGTACGAAACTTGTTTCTGCCAACTGCGTCTTTGAATTTTATTTAATTTTATCAAATTTATCAGTTTCATTTTAAGCATTTGTTAATACGATTTTGATATCGGTTGTTGCTACGTTTTTCCAACATAATGAATTATTCGTATCACACATGGAATTATCATTTTATAACTTGTTGGAACACAGCATGTTAATTGGGATGGATTAAACGATTGGCGATTAAACAGAAGTGCGTAAAATTTTGACAGTTATGGAATACGCGTTAATATCGCAAAAGCATCAATTTATTTTCTGGCATTTGTACAGGCGAATATTGGGAACATTGCACTCTACGATCAATCCAACGCGTCATAAATCTTTGGAATCAAAAATTGTTTGGCGTGCCAAACAAAAATTTGTAAAAAAAAAAAAAAACATTGGAAAATAATAATCAAATATAATCAAACCTACGTCACATTTCCAGGACTGAGTCCTGAGGTTACAGTCCAATAATTCAGGATAATTTGTTTAACCTTCTAATATATTTCGTTTTTATTCCTATTCTATGCTTTGTTCGATTATAATTTAAAATTCGGTGATCGAATGATCCTGAAATTAGAGATACAGACCCTGAAAAATCGTGTAGAGACCCTCGATACCGATTTGTCAATCCTTGAAATTCTCTCGCGTAACTTACAAATTAGAAAATGTCAATAATTAACAAAACACACAAACACAAACGCGTTCCAATTCTAATCAGCGAAGGTACGTTCGCAGGGAAAAAGTAAAAAATACAAAATAAAAAATAGAAAACAATTACAGTCCCTCGAAGGAATTTTTTTTTTTTTTCTTCTGGAGAAAGAACAGGATTCTGCATTTTCATCGCATATTTTCAGCATTCTTTTCGTGTAAAGAGACCCTCGATATCGATTTGTCGAGGGCTTCCGGTCGCGCGATATCCAAATCCGCTTTGATATCCGCCGGTACGTTAACGTTTCTTTCCATTGTCTGTTGCAGAGTTTACGCAACATGATGACAGCCAATACGACGGATGCCTGTGAAACGCGTGATCCCTGCCAACACGGCGGAATCTGCATTTCCACCGACAGTGGACCCTTCTGCGAGTGCCGGTCCGGCGATTATGAGGGCGCCTATTGTGAGAAAGGTAGGTTGTTTTACATCCGGAAGCTTCGTTGTTTACGACCGTTGTTGTTGCCGCGTGTACAGTCTCTTGTTTGCGGAAACGATCGGACAGGTCGCAGCTCTGTCCGCCGCGTTTGTCGGCTTTCGATCTTCATCTTCGCCGAGGGAAGCTTTTGTGTCGATCCGTGCAATGGCTACAGCGTGACTCTAATAGGCAACTACGTTAACTATGGCTAATAGGACAGTGGGAAATTCCACTTACAGAAATTGGATGATTCGATGGGGAAAAATAATATTCAGTGGAATTGCAGGCTGATAATTTCTGCAATTTCAATTGTATCGTTTAGTGTAATCAGAGTTTTTGCTATTAAAAACTTATGCAAATGTAGGAAATATTAGGCAACTGCGTTAGCTATAGCTAACAGGACAGTGGAAATTCCACTTATAGAAATTGGATGATTCCATGGGGAAAAATAATATTCAGTAAATATAATATTCAGTGGAATTGCAGGCTGATTAGTTTTCCAATTTCAATTGTATTGTTTAATGTAATCAGGGTTTCTGCTATTAAAAAGCTATGCAAATATAGAAAATACTAGGCAACTGCGTTAGCTATGACTAACAGGACAGTGGAAATTCCATTTACAGAAATTGGGTGGTTCTAGGGGGGGAAAATAATATTCAGTGGAATTGCAGGTTGATAATTTCTGCAATTTCAATTGTATCGTTTAGTGTAATCAGGGTTTTTGCTATTAAAAACTTATGCAAATATAGAAAATACTAGGCAACTGCGTTAGCTATGGCTAACAGGACAGTGGGAAATTCCACTTACAGAAATATAATATTCAGTGGAATTGCAGGCTGATTAGTTTTCCAATTTCAATTGTATTGTTTAATGTAATCAGGGTTTCTGCTATTAAAAAGCTATGCAAATATAGAAAATACTAGGCAACTGCGTTAGCTATGGCTAACAGGGCAGTGGGAAATTCCACTTACAGAAATTGGATGATTCCAAGGGGGGAAAATAATATTCAGTGGAATTGCAGGCTGATAATTTCTGCAATTTCAATTGTATCGTTTAGTGTAAACAGGGTTTTTTCTATTACAAAGATATGAAAATATAGAAAATGAATTTGCAAGGAAATCTTCTTTAAGACAGGTACCTTTTCCATGCAGAGAAATTTTAGAATTGTTTAGAAATTTAATACATGTTCTCCTTTTTATTTATTTATTTATAGAAGTCATTCCGAGTCCTCGCTTTGATTATGGAAACTCGCGGTTGTCCGGAAAGTTTCTTTCGTTTCATAAGATGATAATAGGTGAACAACAATTTCTCTTTCATATTATTTTATTCAATTAAATATCATAATTCAGTAATTCTGCATAATTCAATAAACTAATATAAAAGAAAAAAGACACTGCGCGTCTATTATTTCCTTATAAAACGAAAGAAACTTTTCGGACAACCTAATGTAATTCTCGAAGTTTTCAATGAAACACCTGGGCGCGATTGCGATAACACGAATCGTCTTATCGAGCGTCTTTGCCTAAAACGAAACTAAGAAACATCCAACGATCGTACGTTTTAAACAACACGAATACATCCATTCTCGTGCTGATTTTATTGTCGTTTACTTGTGTTATCTCGTTTTGTTGCCAGCCGAAACTCGCTTGGCTTTTGCTGTTACCTGCAAAGAGAAAGTAAAAATAACACTTCCGTTTGACCGAACACTTTTACACGCCGGCGTAAGCTTGTCCTTTCATTGCATCGATACTTTGCATGGCGATGTAATTTCATTACAACCGGCTACACTGTCAGACACTGTATCGCGGCCAACGTGTATCAAGAAAGATTTACAAGGCGAGCGTGCATTAGGTCGCCGGTAATCGCGCTATAAATTCACGGCACGAGCGGCCGCGTATTTTATGCAACAATGAGCCCCGCGCGAAGATGGCATTAATTTAAAGCATTGATACGGCTGTGAATAATAAGGAAGCGAAGGCAACGATTAAAAGGAGCAACGAATATAAGAGTCGCGGCGGTTGTTCTAATCAGACGCGGCAGTTGCTCGTAAAAATCGCCAGCTTGCGAATGCGCAGGCAAATTTTCCTCAACGAACGCGTCTGAATGAAATGTCGCAAAAAAGATTTATCGCTTGTTGCCTCGTTCGCTAACAAGCTTCGTGCCAAATATTTTTTCCTTTGCGTTGGCAACTAAGTGATTGCGGATTTTGCCATTAGGTGCTACTGACAAATCCGCAATCACTTAGTTGCCAACCCATAGAACAGAATTTGTTGATGGAAACAGATATTGTTGCTCTCTGTTACATAAAGTAGCGGACAGAAGTTTAAAGTTGTCTAATTTTTACTGTGTTTCGATTAGCATCCAGTTTACTATTTCTGTGGCCTTCTGCACAAAGCGCAACGTGTCTTCTTCCTTTGTATTGGCCTGGCAACTAAGTGATTGCGGATTCGTCAATACCGCCTAATGACAAAACCCGCAATCACTTAGTTGCCAATAAGAGAACATAAGGAAACAAGATAACAGCAACGATAGGAAGCAAATGGTGATATCGTCCATGTTCAGAAATACGAACACGAGGAGAAAACGCAGTCGGGCAGCTGGAGACCCGCAATTAGCATACGAGCATCAGAAAAAACGTCGTTCTTCCTCTTCGACCTATCTTTGCACGTAGAATCAACAGCCGATCGCTTGTACCACGATTTCCCAGATAATCGTACGCAATTCGCAAAAGTATGTCTAGTACCTGGAATATTGGCTTGGCAACTAAATGATTGCGGATTCTGTCATTAGATGCTATTGATAAAACCCGCAATCACTTAGTTGCCAATAGAACAGAATGTTTATTCGTATTTCACAGCTATGGCGAAAAATATTGTTGCTGTCTGTTATATAAAACAGCGGACAAAAGTTCGAAGTTTAAATTTGTCTAATTTTTACTATGATACCATTAGCATCAAGTTTCCTATTTCTGTGGTCTTCTGCACAAAACGCAACGTGTCTTCTCATTTTCTTTGTATTGGCTCGGCAACTAAGTGATTGCGGATTTTAACATTAGGTGGTATCGACAAAATCTGCAATTACTTAGTTTCCAACATTTCTTTGCTTCTCTTACGCGTCCATGTCTCTCTGACATGTTTCTTAGTATTTTTATTTATTATTTATTCATCTCATATATTTTTCCTTATATCTAACTTCTTCTCTTCTTCTTTTAATAATTTCGAACTTACAGTAATTGCAATTCCGTGCACGCGTTACTTTGCCGCGAGAAAATCGCCGTTACCTTTATCCTCTCCTAACGATATTCGGAATATCGACAGATAGAAGGACTTGAAAGTTAAAAATTGCCTTTCTGACTGGCAATGTTGCTTAGAAAGAACATTTCCTCGAATCTCGTCTCTCTATCCTCTCTACCATCCTATCTTCCTTTTCCAAACACCTGGCCGAGTACTTTGATTCCGATGATACAAAGAGCTCGGCGTAGAATTCTATCCTATTTTATTTTATTACATTTCTCCATTCCGCTTTCCACCTTTCCGTAAAGAATGGAGCAATCGTGGGAAGATACGTCTTTGAGTGTTTTATTTCGGTAAAATATTTTCCGCTTTGCGAAGAAGAAATTCTTTACCATCTTCTTGCTTCTTCTCCTTCCAGCCTTTCGTAACACCAAAGATCCCGTGCGATATTTTACTAAAACTGTGGAAAGTTTGTCAGCCGGGTGGAACGCCACTTTCAATATCAATGAGGCAATACGTTTCCTGTGACTTGACAATTGTTTAAATTAAGCACTCTTTTGAAAAAGCGCTGTCGTAAGTTGAAAGAAAACTCGCTAGCAAGTAGCGAGTTAAGGGCGCGTTTAAATGCATGAGCTTTGCAACCAGCTTCGGAACAAGGTTTTTGCTTTGCTGAAATGGTCGAAATACACGCGATCCGAGACTATTCAAACGAACGTACGATTGTTTAACAATTACAATGTTTCAAGATAATGGAAGAAGAACAGACGATTAACTGCGAAGAAGGTCAAAAGCTACGACACGGAATATTCGAGGGATGAAATTTTCTTCCACGATACGATCGTATGGCATTTAACCCCTGTATTAAGGGTGGGATTTTATTCTTGGAAATAAATAAGTTTTATTTGCAGGATTATACAGCAGGGAATTACAATTGACAAGCGTGTATTTCTTGAGAAAATTTCTCATATCGAAGGTTGATCAAACTATCGTAAATTACGTTAAAAATAATTTTATTTAGAAATCTCGATAGATTGGACGAAGAATGACGAAAATATGTCATCCGCTTAGCTGATAAACTGAAAATTAAAAAAGATCATACGAAAACGAATAAGAACGCTGGATATATCGTTGAGCTTCGAACAATTCTACTTGATAAAATATAAAATTGGGGGGAAAATTGGAGTGTGCGACAGCAAAGGGCAAATGTCGTAAGTTGAAGGTAGAGTTAATTGTGAGAAAGTTAATTTGCCGCGACTAAATCGCCAGTCTCGATCAGCTGTTTCGTATCACTTGTTCAAATCACGAAAGCTTTATTACGCTTTTCCCGTATATTCGCTTGTTATCACAACGTGCTTTCCAACTTTTAATCTCTCCACTTTGTTCGCCACAAACAGCCTATTAGCTGCTTAAAATCTGCTAAAGTCTCGATCTTATCACAGTTAAAACAATCATCCGCCTAACCAGAGAAAACAGAGATCAAGCCAAATTGATAGAACTTTCATCGTCTCATTTTTCTAGCTTTTATTCCACTTGAAATTTCTCTATTGCGAGCGAGTTCAATGTACGTTGCAGTTTATGAGAAAATCGTACGAAGTAGGATGATACAGGCGAAACGAAGAAATATTCATCCGATTCGATGAGAATTCATCGGTATATCTCACTATGAAACGATTTATATCGCGCTACGGATGTACAAACTTTGTCAGATACCAGAGACTTCCGCGTGGCCAGGTTATTAGGTCGTCCGGAAAGTTTCTTTCGTTT